ACACGGTGAATAATGATCATATTCCTTTCATGAAATTTTTCTTTCTTTCTTGGGCGCGTAGTTTTTGACTTGTTTCTGCAATAGTATTGCGGATTTGAATCAAATCAAAGGCGCCCTTCAACTTGTTCACGGGTTTTATATGTGTACTAGCATTTGTAAATATATGGTTAACTTGTACGAGTCAGTCCTTAAAAGTTTTTATACTTTAGAATACCCCAAAATACAGCGTATACTTTATGTATTTTGAGATTTGTCATAGCTAACTAAAAATTTGGTATATAGTTTTATATAGAATGGTAGATCTTTTATTTGAAAAGAAAGAAAGGATTGAAATAATTTATCAACTTGCACAGAAGCTCTTGGGAAAAGTAAAAGGAGTTGCTATTGAAAGTCTTGAGCACATTTTTGAATTGGTTTAAGCAATTAAAACTTTTTATTCATCTTGTCTACTTTCTTGAATTGCTTGATTAACCTTCTCCCCGAGTAATGTAAATTCTTACTAATTGGTCGGATCAACTTAGTTTTTGGCTACTTTTCTAATGGATTTGGATTAATTCTGGGAACTCAATTATTTGGGGTTTACAGAATGCCAACCTCCAAGGTTTATGTGGTACTACGACTGCACAAAATGTGGACAACGCAGTCCCTCGTGATGTTCAAGAGATGGCAGAATTTGTAGTGGAAGGGACCAAGCTGGTTTTGATAAAAGTGCTTGCCTATGTCAAGCGGGTAGTAGTTTTTGGCACTTTCTACGGGCTTCACGTGTTAACTCAGGATGACAAGGGCACATATAAAGATCAAGCACTAGCCTTGAAATTTAGTAGTGGCAAGAAGGTACGCCTGTGGTACAAACGTAATGAACATTAATCAACAGCTGCTCATGAATTGAGAATGATCAACGTACTTTGCTAAGTACGTTAATTATCTGGTGTCTGTATGTGGTTGAGTATTATGTGTGTATGTTCAAAAGGATGGATGTACCGCTGAGGCACATCTCCCTAGTACTGTACTGAATCTCGAAGGTGCGCTTGTACCAAGAATGCACCATTACATAAATAAAACCAGCTGTGTGTGTTTGAGTTCATATATTACACTTCGTTCGCCTATTCACTTCCCAACAGTCTAAGAGTAATTGAAAACTCTTGAAACCTAACTACATGTTTTGTGTGAGTATCTGTTTCCTGTACCATACCTTTATTCCTCAAAACCTTGCTGTATGTCAAAACGCCGACTTACACCAAGTCGAATTATGTTGTTGGTTCCTTTTAAATCACAAGCAACGCCCAAAATATGCTAACGTATTGAGACATTCACATGAATGAGAGTTTCAGTGATGTTTGCTTGAAGTTGTAGTCTGGACCGATGTTTGCTTTGATTATCATTTTTATCCCGTCTACTTATATTTGTAGTTAGAAGACAAAGGAACAGACAAGTAAAAAGTACAAGATCGCACAGATGTTCTATTAAGCGCGACTATAAGGTACTGCGATAATTTGCTTTTGCCGCCATTGTCATTATTAAGTATCCAAAAAGTAAAACTCTACTTACTCAAAAAGATATTGCTTGACAAGTGAACCAAAGTACCAAACTAGATGTTACAAGAGTTAACTTTTTTTCTGTTTCTATAACAAGCTTTCAATGTCTGATTAGCAAAATAATAAGAATAAGAACTAATACCCAAAGCAAAACCTTACTTACATTGAGTGAAACGGGGAGCTTTCTTTGGTGATGAAGGAAAGGGAAGGAATCAAAGACCCAAAAAAAAAAAGAACTTAAAAAGGAAAAAAATGAACATTATATGGAAATAGTAGGAAAATAAGACATCTTCATGACGTTTTTGTCCAATAACAAAAAATATGGGGCAAATTACCCACTCCAAATAATAGACGGGGCAAAGTTAAACTCCCCCAATAAATAGTTCATGGAGGTTTTTATTTTACAAATTATTTAAAACTAGCTGCAGGGTTGTAAATGGACACACTCACATCCATCACTACAGATGTAAATGGATCCACTCACATTCATTGTGGATGCACACATTGTTTAGATTTTCGATTATGTGCTTGTTATATTTCTTACGTGTATTGATGCACGCTCAATTGATTTAGTGCATAAATTTCATTGCGCTTGTTATATTTCTTGCATGAATTGATGTACGCTCAGTTAATTTAGTGCATAAAATTTATTCCTACACATCCATTCATTCTTTGAAATAGATAACTATATATGTGAATGTACACAAAATCTTTAATCTCAATAATTCTTGCTCCAAAATCTTTATTCCTGTAACGCATGAGATTTAGTTCCCATCTCTCGGGGGTAGTCCATAATTAAAGGTAGTGGAAGGTAACAGAAGGAAGCAAACAAATTGATTGAGGTTTACGTGCAATAGATCCTAACTTTACATTTAGAAATATTATTTTAGCAAATAGGGGCCGTTGATTGTCACAAATAATTATATCTGACATGATTCGATTACTCCCACATAAGAAAGTATTTCAATTGTAGCAAGAGTCGATTGTTCCCATTTTCTTTCTTTTCTTCTCAATCTAACTCTCAAAGAAGAATATTAAGTTTCCTTTCTCTTTTTCATTCATTAATTTTCTAAATCACAACCTTTGAATGAGCTATTAGGTTGGTGGGCAAAGCTAAATTTTAGGAGAGTTAAAGTTAGTTACCTTTCTTCTTGTCTGTTTAAGTTGCAAGAGAATTACAGAGTTTTATATTTTCCTAAATTTCACGTCCACCAGAACTTGCAATTTAGCAAATGAAAGTAGCTTTTCCTCAAGACATTTTCCGTTCAGATAAATATTTGCCAATTTCTTGATCTTGCTACACATTCCAACAGGGCTATTATTCCCTCCATTCAAACAAACTCAAGTGGCTATATATTTTAATAGTTGCTATCTGGAATCTGGTGCTTGTTTTATTTCTGAGTGTATATATTTTTCACGAAAATTTTGCTTTCTTTCTAAGCTAATTAGGAGTGTAAAGTCATGGAAAATCTTGTTCTTCACCTTCCAATAAAGGCTAATAATCCCTCTATTCAGACAAAACTCAAGTCGCTATCAATTTTAATGGTTGCTCCTATCTGGACTCTGGAGTTGGCTATGTATCTGGAGATAATCCATTTAACCAAAAGTTATTGGCAAACCAACAATTATTGCAAGTTCTTTTTCATTTATGACGTTCTGAATTTGAAGGATTCCTTTTGTTCTTGCTAAATTGGGTTGTATTGTCAGAAAATGGGTAGCATCTTATGAAGAGTAAAGGCGAAAATAAAGAATTTGCCAAGGAGACCTGCGCAAATTTTAGATTTTCTAGATAGGGTGTTATCCCATCTAGAAAATCTAGAGAGGACCCCTAAGGAATAGACAATTACAAGAATTATGCCAGCGGCACATACACTGTGATTTTCAGAGCTATAGATAGAAATAAATATCTAAAATATTGCTCTTTTACCGCCTGAGAATAAAAAAAAAAAAAAAACTGCATAAGTGGGTGGATACACCTAGATTCAGGGAAAAGAGAAATTGAGTAGATTTCGAAAATTGAAAGGGTTGAGAATTAAGAGGGTAAAATATGGGATTAGGCATGTTTGAAAGTAGACACAGTTTATAGACATGAGTGAGGGGTATACAGTGGCCATATTAATTTTCTTACAGCACCATATGCCACTTGCTATCATTTTTATTTCTATTTCATCGCCATACTTAACCTTGATGTCGTGATTCTTGAATAATTATGTATGATGTGTATGCGTAAATTGGCTTATAAACATAGTCCAGCTAAGTATGCTTCATTATTGAGTCTGACAATACAAGAAATCCTTGAATAAATCGTTCATTCCTTTGTTGAGGGTAAGAGTTGCATTAATGGGCTAATCATCCCTATCTTTCTCAACATATTATCTCCGGATTCAACTCTTGTTTCTTCCATTGCAGCATCTATTTTTCCTGCTTTCTCATGATACTAACAGTGTCTACTTTAGAAAAGAATAAAAGAAAGGGATAATTTCAGAAACCTCCCCTGAGATTTCTGACAATTTCACTGAACTCCCCTCAAGTTTGAAAATTTGCACCTACCTCCCTTGATTTGATAGTTTTAGTAACAAAACTTTTAAATAATATTGACTTGGTCAAATTTTTAAATAAATATCCAAAAAAGGTCCTTGTGTAATGAGTTTTAATTTATTTCCCTGCACAATTATAAGATTATCTAGTGTAATTCTAAGGAAAAGGTGTCAAAATTTTCATGTCCATATATACTATTTGATAAACAACTATAATAATAATTTTATCAATATGATAGGATATTTTTTATAGTATTTTATTATGGATTTCGATTTACAAGATAAAAAAATGTTGAAATAATTGATTTAGAGTTTATGAATTTTTTTGAATAGTGGGATTATCATAATTTAGTAGTGATTTCGGGCCATTTCTTTTTATTTATTTTTAATTTTAATACCCAAAAATAAAAACAACTATTAGCAAAAAAATACTGTATTACACATAAAGTTAACTCACAAAAAAAAATCACTAGTTCGACAATTGATTACAATAGAAACTAGAGGTAATAGTGGTAGTTCTACAGTTTTATTGACAAAAAAATTTAAAAAAAAAAGGAATAAGAAGGAAAAAGAATGAAAAAATAATTTTAAAAGTCATTCCAAGTAAAAGTATACCAAACAAGGGAATTTCATTAAAATATTCAAGGGCAGTATTATCATTTTAAATGACAAGAGAGGTATGTGTAATTTTAAAAATCTTGAGGGAGCTAAATGAAATTGTTAAAAACCTCAAGGAGGTTTCTGAAAGTATCCCTAAAAGAAAGGAACAAAGCTATTGCTAATATTCTTGATGAATAATGGCTTTTCTATCAAGTGCATATTTGTCGCTAGATTCCCAATTTCCAAGCAAGGGCATAAAGGGCATTTAAGTGTAAAAGTATTGCCTATAAATACAAGGAACGAGGAAAGTTCTTCCATGCATAAAACCTAGTTTCGACAATTACAACCAGTTATAAAATTCCATTATCTCCGTTAGTAGCTAGCTAGCTCGCTAAGTGAAAAATGGCTGCAGCCATAGCCAACTACAACATCAAAATGAACGAACTCACAGCCGACCGTAATCTTCTATTTTCTCAAAATTCATACAGCAGTTTTATATTTTGCATGCATGTGCATAGGTTTCTTTCACAAATTCTTTCTCCTTTTTTTTGTGTTGCCTCAATTACAAGTGGTGAGTATTTTATTTTCCTGGAATTGAAATGAGTTGTTGTTTCCTGGTGGAAATCAGTGGCTGTGGAGGGATTCCAATCAGCTGAAGTGGATGCTATAATGAAAGCAGTTAGAGACGACAAGACATGGAACGCAATTGAGAGGGTGAATAATGATCATATTCCTATCATAACATTTTTCATTCTTTCTTGGGCGTGTGGTATTGATTTGTTTCAGCAATACTATTGCTGAGTTGAATCAAATATCAAAGGCGCCCTTCAACTTATTCACGGGTTTTATGTGTGTTCTAGCATTTTTATAGTTAACTTGCACGAGTCAGTCTTTAATTTTTTTTTTTTTTTGGGGCAATATGTAGTCATTTTATTAATCATCAGAAAAAAGCTTTACAAAGGATGAATCTCCTACTGCATCAGAGTACTACCGTATTTCAATCTACATCTATACATATAGTACCGATAATCAGCTAGCTAATTCCTAAGACATTCATTAGCTAATCCCCATTCCAGTATCAACTCTAGATTCTCCTTACTCCGAGGGGCTTTTGGCCAAGAGCAAGTAAACTGCAACACCTTCATTACTGATAAAACCAGCTGAAACATTTGAGTTTGCAGATTGCTGAAAAATTCTTCCATTCCTTTCCTGCCATATATGCAAGATATTGTGGCAGATAGGACCAGTCGCCTAAGTTTATCAGCAAAAGAATCAGACATCATATGTTTACTCCACCATCTCACTTCCATTTTGCCAACTCATGCTTCCTCTATATAACAAGCACATATTCTGTACTTTATCCCAGAAGAATGAGAAAATTCACATTGGAAGAAAAGATGGTCAATGGATCTAGGAATACTTCCATATAGTACACAAAGAGGTGATATGTTCTGCATCTTCCACCTGCATAGCGTATCTTTGCTCATCAACTTCCCTTGAATAGCTAACCAAAGTATGAAGGCAAATTTAGGAATATAGCCCTTTGGTTCATACAGTTCAGTCCGCAACTAAAAATTTTTGAACGTAAGAATATCACAAAGTACAACATAAACTCTATGTATTGTGGGATTTGTTTTAGCTAACTAAAAATTTGGTATACTGTTTATATAGAATGGTAAATCTTTTATTTGAAAAGAAAGAACAGACCAGCGCAGTATGAATTTGAGGTCATGATAGGAAATTTCGAAGCAGTATGTTTATATAGAATGGCTTCTCGGTTTTAGTCGATTTGTTTGACTAACCTTCTCCCCCAGTAATATGTTTGTTTGGATTGGTCTTTATTTCCCCAAATATATTTGCTTACATCATCATTACAATTTCCAACACACCTTTTTACCTTCCCAATTACCTTTTTATCTCACATACATCACATCACAAAAAGTGTTATAGTAAAAATATCTCAAATAACTTACAATCCAAACAATAATTTCTTACTAATTTGTCAGATGGGCTGAGTTTTTGGCTACTTTTCTAAAGGGTTTGATTAATTTTGATTTTTTGGGGCTTACAGAATGCCAACCTCCAAGGTTTATGTGGTATTCCTACTGCAAAAAAGGCAGACGTGACAGACATTAATGTAATAGAGATGGCAAAATTTTCAGTGGACAAGTACAACGAGGAGGCTGGGACCAAGCTGGTGTTCATGAAAGTGATTGCCTGCGCCTTGTGGAATCTAGGTGTTGTCACTGTCTACGCGCTTCTCATTCAAACTCAGGATAGCAAGGGCACATATATTGATAAAGCAGTGGCTGTTGATGTCACGATAATCGGAAAGAAACTCTTATGGTACAAACATTAATCAAGAGCTGCTCTTGAATTGAGAATGATTAACGTATTTTTACTAAATACTTCAATTATCTGGTCTCTGTGTGTGGTCAAGTGTTATGTGTGGATGTTTAAAAGAATAGATGTATTGCTGAGATGCACCTCCCTTGTACTGTAATGAATCTTGAAGGTGCCAAGAATGCACCAATAAATAAATAAAACCAGCTGTGTGTGTTTGAGTTCATGTATATGTATATTTTGTTTCTCCATTAATTAATTGCATGCAGCGTCCAATCTTTGCGTTTTGAATGTTGATCGATTACTCTACTCATGACTAGTTATAAAGTCCTGCTAAATGAAGCTTTATTAAAATCGCGATCGATGAGTCACACAAGTGAAATTAAACACAAACAAAGTGGCAAAGATGAAAACGGCCAAACAGACGTAAAACCAGAACGAAACTTGCTGAATGAAATGTACATAAGAATTTAACAAAAGCAAAAATACCTACCCACAGCTAAAGTCTTAAATGATCCAAACCTCAACATCACTTGGAGAGTCTTGGTTGATTACACTTGCTAGAAACTAAACTAAATGGAATTCTATTTAAACCGAAACTAGACCTTAAAAGAAATACTGAAAGTGGACTGGAAAGCTAAACAATTGCTAAAGCAATTGGAAAGCACTGGATTTGCTAAGCAGCTTTGATCTGTATCATGTGGACTTCACATTATCGATCCTTGCTTTTCTATTGAAGCCATTGAAGAATTCTTCCCGGCTTTAAACTCTTATCTTTTACCCCTTTTTAGAGATAGAACCTTCATTGCTTATGTCCATCGATCCATGTCCGATTGTTTCATGACAGGTGTTAAAGTTGTACAATAATAAATACTTAAATAAAATACAAATTTTTGTATATAACGATGAGTAGAGTCGAATCCACAGGATCGAAAAAAATTGTTTCTTCTAGAGCACATAGTAAGAGGGATTTTTATAAAAATGAGAACAATTAAATAACTCAAATTAAAAGGATTAAATGAAAATTGATTAAAGTTAAAACAATAATAGATAAATCTAGCCAAGAAATATCTTCGAAAATGGTTCACTCAGTTGAGCATTGATGCAATAATAATTTCATTTACCCATTGATAAACAAGTTATAACTGCCAAACAAGCGATGACAATCAACTTCTCCATTCTGTATTGATGAGTAAGGTACAACCGTTAACCACTGTTTTAATCAAGAAATAACCCTAAGTACGACCTTAGAGTTTAATTTTTCAATTGTCTTAAAAATTAGAGAAACCCTGTTCTAATCAAATGACACGTTACGAGGGTTATTTTAAATTAGCCCATATGTCCCTCTGACACAAATCCAATCGTACCAGTTACCACTATTTGAAAGCAATTAAACAATTACGGATTTAACTGCTTTAATTGGTTATAGGTTATTAGATTAATTCAAATGTCGGGCCCTAAATATTCAAATAACATAATAATCATAAGAAATTAAATCAGAGAATATACGAATACTAGTAAATAAAAAAAATAAATATAATTAATTCGATCTCATAATTTTAGTTGAACTAAATCCTTCGTTACTCCTTAACTAGAATGAGAAGTTTAGTTCATCTCCCTCGAAGAAATTGCATGGAAAATAATACAATCCATTGCCAAGACCATTCTTCGATTATCAAATAAAGAGTCAAGAGGAAAAAGAGAAAAACGAACGTCGTTCCCTATTTCTTTGCCAAGCAAAAGATACGAACTGAATTGTTTCTTGCTTTGTTTTATACTCCTCCTTTAATTATTTTCCTAAATAATTTCAAATTCCCAATCGGCCAATGATTCTTTTTAAAAAGTCAAGATAGATAGACTAGACTAGTATCCTATTAAAAGTGAAAGACTATCCATTCGGTGAGGAGAATCTGACCTTCACGACTTTGATTTAGAATTGGAGATCTTCAAACATGCCAAATCTCGAGTTTCCCAAACGTGCAGTGTAATACTTTGATGCACCCATGCTGAACAGGATAAAAGTCCAGTGAAAAATCATGCCTTTAATTCTTTTTTGCTCTTAATCGCTATAACCAATATCAATTATCAAATATGAGTAGAATCTAATAATTAACATAATATTTGATAAAATTCATGGAAAAAATAATCATAAATTTAATAACAAAAATGCAACCTATCATTTGATTAGCTGGATCTTCATCAAGTCAACAACCAACTCTAACAACAACTCATCTAACCGATCTGCGCTACTTCACATCTTTAAGGACTTTTGAAGCCAAGTACTTCGTTTTAATTTTCCAACGAAGTTCTTCAACCTACTCTCCATCTTTTTTGGGTAAGAGTTTATTGAAGCTGTAAGCTTGTAAAATGGCTGAATTTTCAGTATCAAAGTTGAAATATGAATAACAACTAGCTAAGGTTTCAAATAACGGGAGGGAAGAGTTGCTTAGAAAGGCATCAATTCATGACAAACTATGTCCTATTTCAAGTCAATCAAGAAGATTTTTGGAAATTGTCAAGGAAACTTAGGATAAACAGCAAACAAGAAATTTTCTTTTTTTTTTTTTTGGCAAATCCCGTACACGGGACAGAAATGCCACCCATTTTATTTTATTAAATATAAATTCAAGTATTACAAAGAGTTGAAGACAAATAGAAAGATAAACATAAAAGAAAAGAGTTAAAGACAAATAGAAAGACAAAGATGAAAGAAAAAAGGAGTGCTTTCTCCCTTACAAATTGAGTGCGCACAAAAGAAAAAACCTAGAATACAAATTAACGAGTATCCAAACAAGAAATTCTTTTTGAATACCTCTTATCCTGCAAAACTGAAATTCTCTTGGAGATTACTTAGAATATCCTAATAATTGTGTGTAATTAGAATAGGGGAGAATTGTAATTTTGGTCCCCAATCTATAGTGTATGCACGGAATTATCCCCAATCTATTTCGAATATCAATTTTAGTCCCCAATCTATTCAATTTTGAGCTAAAGTGGACAATTGACGGAATCTCTTCAATTTCAATTGGAACTAAGTCATGTGAGATCACGTGCCGGCACCTAAAGCCCTTTTTTCAATTTTTTAATTTCTAAAACACGTTTTTTTTTAATATTTTCTGCTTTCTCCTGCCTTTTGTCTTATTAAACAAAGACATGAAAGGGGTAATCTCACAATCCAAATTGCTCCTCTTGTTGGCCGCTGCCTTCAAATCCCCAGAACCCATAGCATGAGTAAGAATCTCAGCTTGGCCTCCAAGTCCAAGTCTCGTTCTTGCCTCCATTAGTAATGGAGATAATCTGCAATCAACGCCAGAGACGGACCCAGTTTAGCTCTCCTGCACAAACAACAGGAGCAGCAGCAGTACTACTTCATAAGCAAGTAGTCGAGAGAAAAGAGCGGATGATAATAATTGGAAATCAAAAGGATTATACGGACCAAATCATCAAAGGGATTATACTGGTAAGTATATTCTTTCTCTATGAACCATTCTTCACTGTTGAACTGGAATGAGCATTCAATTGAACCATTAGTATATTATTGGTAGGTCATGCTTACTGCTGGAACAGACACTTTGTCGGTGACTATAGAATGGGCCTTGTCTTTTTACTCAACCATCCTGAGGTGCTAGAGAAAGCTCGAGTTGAATTGGATGCTTAAGTAGAGACTGATCGACGAACATGATCTATCCAATCTTTCTTATCTTCATAATATTATTTCAGAAACACTTCGGTTGTGCCCAGTAGCACCAATGCTAGTGCCATATGAGTCGTCCGATGACTGTAAAATTGGGGGATACAATATTCCGCAAAGCACAATTTTGCTAGTTAATGTATGGGCAGTTCACAGGGACCCAAACGTTTGGGATGATCCAACAAGCTTCAAGCCAGAGAGATTTGAAGGCTTGCAGGTTCAGCCATCAAAGCTGATTCTATTTGGGATGGAAAGGAGATCTTGCCCTGGTTCTGGCCTAGCACAGCGGGTGGTGGGTTTGGCCTTGGGATCTCTAATTTAGAGTTTTGATTGGAAAAGAATTGGCGAGGAAGAGATTGATCTGGCTGAAGGGACAAGAGTGTCCATGCCAAAAGCCAAACCACTAGAAAAAATGTGTTTTAGAAATTAAAAATTTGAAAAAGGGGTTTTAGATGCCGGCACGTGATTTCACGTGACTTAGTTTCGATTGAAATTGAAGAGATTCTGTCAATTGTCCACTTTAGCGCAAAATTGAATAGATTGGGGATCAAAATTACAATTCTCCCGTTAGAATATCAAACTAAATTTGTAACTCATACGCTTGTAAAACTTGTATGCAAAAACTTTCCCCTAAAATTTCATAACCTTTTTTTTTAATTTCATAACTTAGTATTGTTGGTTGGCCAATATTGATTATTTTAGTAGCATTTTTTATATGCATTAGTAAGAACGTCTATAACTACCTAGATACACTCGTATCACTATGTTGCACATATGCACGATATCTATTTATGTATAGGGTAAAGTCCATCAAAAGTTACCAAAATATTTCAAAGTTTCATTTAGCTTATTGAATAAGGATCATTACTAATTGCCCCAAGATTCACAGACCTTTCATTGGGCAACCATAGATATATGTGGTTTACAAGTTCTTTTTATACATGCTTCCCCACCTCATCGCAGTGAGAGCTGGGTCCTGGGAATTAGGCCTGTTGGTCCACCAAATAAGAAGAATATTAATTAACAGGTTGAGTGGTGAGGTGAGAACACATTTACTATAGGCCCATTTGGCAAATAAGAGGGCGGCACAGAGAGAGAGAGAGAGGAAAGGAAACAAAACCAAAAAAAAAGTTACCAGCACCAGGTGAGGTGCGGCCGGTCAGTGTTGGCTAGTGGCAGGGATAGTGATGGGTTGAGTTGGGGGAGGAAGAAGAACGGAAAGAAGGTAATTTTGTGTGTGTTTTGGGATATTTTAAAGTGTGTATTTTAAAATTTTTGGCAAAATTTTTGAAATATATTATAATTAAAGTTGTCAAAAAACTTTGTAAAAACTTTTTTGCCAAGCAAACCCATAATTTATCTATTATTATACTATTCAATAGTTGATATATTGTAGGAGTTTGTAATACTTTGACCTGTGCTATCTTTCAATGTTTTTCAATCATTTTATTCTTCAATAATCTTCATTCATGTTATCTAATGGTTATTAGTTAGTTTAATTCAATTTCAAAACCCGGCAGTTTAGGCGAAAAAAG